GCGGGAGTGGAACTTCCCGCACACGTGCATTTTAACTTCCCGTTGCCATGGTAACCTTAAAATACTCGCGTAGTGTCAACATTGTGATGTGTTGACGGCGCCATTGTTTATAAATAGCTCACAGTTAATTTCTTCAGTTTAAAGGTTTATTCGTTGCAAAAAATATTGTACACAACACGTTCGTGAGCCTGCTTCCCGCATTCACGCAAATGCGGCACTCCCTTCGGTCGTGCCGCAAACAAGCGTTCATGCGGGAAGCAGGCTATCCCGAACTAGTTGTGTAAATTACTAATTCCACCTACCGGAACGTGAATGAATGAAAGATACTCAACATATCTATTCTACAGCCGTGCTCCAGGGTTAGCAATGTATAAGGTTATGCGATTTTCCAGGCTGCGAACTCCGGCCAAGAACCTCATCTTCCCACCGTCGATTTAACCGACGACACTTCCCCAGTCTCCCAGCATATGAAAACGGCAAACTCCCAGCAGAAGCCCCCCCAGAGACAAGGTCTGCCCTTCAAGTGCGACCTCTGTCCAGCGGAGTACCCCAACGCGATGGGTCTGAGCAAGCACCGGCAAAACTACCACAAAACGAACAGCGGCATGTGTGAAATCGGCGTGCCTTTGATCAATCTCAAGCAACCAGGGATCTTCCAGAAACTCAGTTCCATGGGCATTTTTAACTATATTCCTTTACCGACGTCGGGACCAGACGGCATGTTCGCTCTGCCCATTATAAATGGGCGGAATCCGGGCAATGTGGCGGCGCTGGGCGCCACCACGATGCTGACGTTAGGGCCTGTGCGGAACATACCGAGGCCTCAAAACGCGGTCAATGGTACCCAAGGTGCCAATAAACCACAAATGAGTAATAATAATAATAATAATACTATTAATCAGAGTAAATAGTGTGTTCTGTGAACACGTGTACATACGAAGAGTCTATATTGTAACAATATGGTTTTTAGTTCTTGTTGTATATTACAATTTCGCTTTTTTTCTACAGTTGCGTGTTAGTTTAGAGACAAAATATTTTTGCGTTTTGTGATTTTTTCGAATCTGTCTCGTTTATTTCTAAGTGGAAAATGTTTCGAGGAACCCAGTGTCTGCTTTTAAGATTCTCTATTTTGTAATGATTTCTATAGACTGATTAGTTGATTTAGTGGCTTGTGCAATTGATATGTATTAGCTCTTTTGTTAAATTTTCGGCGTCGTTCTGAGGTTTGGTTGTGTTGAAACTTGAAATGTTTATTTCGTTTAGTTAGTTGTGCTTATTTAGCAAAAGAGCTACCTATATGTATTTTTTGTATAAATTATTTACATTTTGTGATAAAGTAAATACCATTATTTTCTAAACTGTAGTTTGAATTACCTTTTAGAAAAAATGTACTTATGTTGAAACAATAAGTAATCTAGGGGAAAATTGTTACACGTAGACGTAAACTTAAAACCGTCGTTAAACTTTATTTCCGCTATTAAATTTTAAAATTTGAAGTTAACCGGTACCGGCGACCAGTTGTATTCCAGCAAAAAATTCTGGCCAGGTATTCAATGACCGGTCGAGGTTGTCAGCGTTTTTTGTTTGTTCAAGTTATGTGGTTGAGTTTCCTCTTTTCCAAGTTTCACTTTATGTACCAACATTTGATTTCAGAATTTGCGTTTTCGTGTGTTGAGAAAATTCTGCAGTTCACATAAGTCGGCAATAAATTTGACAAGTTGTTTTTTTTGTTTATAACAAACGTGCTTTTAAATTTACCGCTTTTATTTCACACTGTCGGGGGTGTGACAGATGCGACCTTGAAACTTGTTTAAATAGCTGGCTGTTTCACTGTGTATATAGCTTTTAAAAACTGCCACCCAGTATATTATGATTTAAAACCGACAAATTGAAGTCGTTTTGATGTAAAGAAAAACCCGAGCCGGTGGATATTTTTGTAATGAGAATGTAAATAACAATGTTTACAAAACTTTTTCGCCGTGCGATTGGCACCCGTAGCGAAAATTTGACATTGGTGTTTGACACCCCCGCTTTTCACTTGTTAACAATACGCATTGTGGGGTTGTCATCCATTGTTGAAAAACAATCATTCTTATCGTCCCTGCTCCCACAATACCCCGTCATTCGCCCATATCGCCCCTTTTTCGTCTGGCCCTCGCCCCCTCCCGGTAATTCCAACAGGAACTCCGCTCTCATAAATAAACAAAACAGGACCCACTTTTTGAATTCTCCCCCTCGGTGCGCATGCGCGACACGCAATCAGTTCAAATGCTGTGTATGCAACATTTATGTTTACTCATTTAATATTCTCTTTGAAAGGGAGCTTGTTAGTTTTTAATTATTTTTAACAAGCAAGATGAATCGGGTCATGTTTATTGAAAACAAAATTACAAAGCGGGAGATGCGTGTGTGAAAAAAGGGAATTAGAGTTGGCCATGCTTTACAAAATTCAGTTAGTAATAGTGTTGTTGCCACGTTTGTATGTTTACATTTTTAGGTTAGGTGGAGCTTGCTAGATTTATTTCAGCTAAATTTTATTTTGATCCGTCACAGTTGGTCCTCTTGTTCGAAAATACATATAACAGAAGTAAACACTATGGATTGCTGTACTGCGCATGCTTGGTACTTTTTGTGTGAAGTTTGGAGACTACTATTTGTAATCTAAATATAGACTGCGACGTGACACCTATTTTGATCTTCTTTCTATTTATATAACTTACAAGAAGTTCTTTTTAAATGATCTACAATTTGTCTTTCTTGTCATCAAACTTTTAGTAATTAGTAAAAGTTGTGAATTTTTCTTATCCGACCAATTAAAGAAAAAAAGTAATGCTATTTAGTTTGAAACAATTAACATTACAAAAGCGTGCTATTCCGTCACGCATTAGTATTCAAAATTATGGTGAACTAGTTAAAAGAATAATAAAAAATAGAAACATGAATTATTCAGGAGTGCAAGAATAATTACCAAATAGCTGTTTTACTGATTATACCACAGATATAAGGACATACATAAACAGATGCCGTTGACCTAATTATTTATGCTTTATGAAACAGACTTTGACCTTTAAGCAGCTGTTTACTAAATAAAATGATGCAGTTTTTTGTTAACATTCAATGAAAAAAAATTGTCGAAGGTTATTTTGACGGGACTTTTCTGTAGTCCTTGAGTGCAGCCCAACTAAATCCCGCTTTTCAATTTTCCGATTTTTCCAATTTTTGAGTTGCGATTTTTCTAGATTTCGTTTTAAATATGAAATAATAATAATTAAAAAAAAATACGTTTTCAATTTTACGATTTTAGATGTTATTTGAAATTCTTCAATTGCAGTTTTTCGTCTGGGTTTTTTATTTTTTTTTATTTCTTACGGTTTTTCCATTTTTGTTCAATTTTTTATTTCTTCAGTTTTGCGATGTGTAATGTTTCAATTTTTGATCTTTTCGAATTTTTGGTCGATTGAAAGTTTTGTTTTTTCAATTTTTCGGTTTTTAAATATTTCAATTTCTCCATTAATCGAGATTTCGATGTTTCGATTTTTTTATTGTTCGATTATTCGATTTCTCAGTTTTACATTACCTTATACCCGGTGACTGAAAAAAAAATGAATCAGTCAATTTATTTTGTTCTTGCTATTATCTAGGTATACATTTTGGGCAAAAAACCGAGTATGTTTACTTAATTAATTGGTCCTCTCTTCTGTGTTGAAGAGACAAAATCAATCAAATATCAGTTTCTTTTAATACATATGCATGCATTTAATGCCACCGTTACGTACTTCAATGCCGGCGCTGATATGATATGACGTGCTAATGGTCAAATTCGTTCAAAGCATAAACATAAACAACACTGTTAAAGTTAAACAAGTACTAGGAATTAAGAACACATTGTTTCCAACTGATTATTTGCTTTAAATATATTTCATATTGTCCGCATTTGTTCAGACCGTGCCCGCTTGGAATTTACATCCTCGAGGCGCAGGGATTGAGGGCGTGTTATTTACCCTTCTGAAGCGAGGGAAGTTCTGTGAAAATAACCTTCGACCAATTTTTTTATTATTCACATGATACATGTTATGTTGTCCAACATTTATTGTACTGTTTAATAATATATTTTTGTACAAAAATGATATTTTTTCGCTTTGTTGGGAAGTAACTATTTCTATCAGCGGCGGCTCGTGAACTTTTCTTCAGAGGAGGCTCAAATTTGAAAAGCACTACTTTTTATATCTTTTATTATCTGAATATTTTTTTCGTCTTGCCCACGAAAAGAACACTCTTGCGTTGACAGATAAATTATATTGCATCGATTAGTCTTTTCAAAATTGTAAATTTTCACCAACTTTCTCGTAATAGTTCTCCCTTTTATGAGCCGAATCTAAATTATTGGCAAAGTTTAGCTTACCAAGCATTTCTAATTTAATCGAAGAAAATATGTGTTCCTGTGATTTTTCATGCCTTTCTATAGCTCGTGACAAATTTTGTAAATTATTATAGCCTGTTTTACCCCAAGCGGAAGATTTATCACTTATAAATAATACACAATTCCAACAGTATAATTTGTTTCTTAAAACCGAAGCCGTTAACTATTTAGTTTTATTATAATTATTTTCATGAAATGCTCTGTTTTGTTTCTAATTGTAACTGTCAATACCATTAATGGGAGTGATGGTGTTGGTCTTCCCTTTTATACCCTTACCTACGTAAAGCCTAAACACCACCACCACTGAACAGGGAGCTCGCGAAACCACCTCAATGTTTTTCCTACTTACACCCGATTGCTCCAACTAATAAGAAAGAGATAAAGTTATCTGTACGACTTGATCTGAAAAGAGATGAACTAGCCGGAGGCTAGCGGCTTGGAGCGGCAGTCCGATCAACGTTTTAGCCAATGTAATCAATGGCCAATACAATACACACTGACGATGCGTCAAGCTCACGGTCTCATTATTCAGATGCATCGTCGTTCGGAGGCTAGCGGCTAGCAAGCCTCTGCCGCTGAAACCAAACGGGGAGTGGTGTGAATGTGAATTATGATTGTGAGAGCGCCAATATAAATTTTTCCGACATTTTAACCTGATATATGATGAAAGTAAATGAAATCCAAGAAAATATTCTGAAAAATAACAAATGTCTACAAAAATATAAATTCTTTCATCGAAAAAAATTAGAGGAAGCTCAGCTCCAAAAAATAGAGGAGGCTCAGCCTCCCCTGCCTCCTCTGAGGAGCCGCCACTGATTTCTATATTCTTGGTGGTGGTGGTGGTGGTGGTGGTATTATTTATGTTGGTGATGGTTTTATCATAGGAGAGACTCATGATATTCTCAAGAAAGAAGATTTTGCTTTAGCCTTTATGAACTCTGCAATGGAAGACAAACTTCGAAATTTCACGACGATTGTTTGCATGGATGGTACACATGGGACAAACAAAAAAGGACTGGACTTAACAATTATGCTGATTAAAGATGATAGAAATGCAAGATTCCCAGTTGCTTTCTTTTTATCAAATCGTTTAGACCAACAAGTACAAGAAGTGTTTTTAGGTGCTCTTAGGATAAAAATGCAGCAGGATATTAAACCTGAATATTTTATGAGTGATGACGATCCCAAGTATTACAATGCATGGATTAAAGTGATGACAAACAAACCACAAAGACTTTTGTGTTCATGGCACATTGTAAAGAACTGGAATATCCAAGGAAAAAAAATCCATGATGTTACAATGAGAAAACAAATGAAGCAAGAAATGAAAAGAATTTTAAATGAGACTAATGAGAAAAAATTTATTGAACTGAAGGATGCATATCTGAACAAGCTGCAAGAAGCAAATGAGCTGGATTTTGCAAATTATCTTTTAAGGTACTTTTAGTTTTGTAAATATAAGTAATTATCATAATATTATAAATAATAATAGTTTTATATTGACCAAAACATACTTTGTTTTAGGTATTATTTTCAGGATGAAGACAGGATTCGAATGTGGGCCCATTGCTATAGAAAAAATGCTGGAATCAATACCAATATGGCTATAGAGAGTCTTAATAATTTATTGAAGACTAATCAGTTAAAAAGGAGAACAAGAGTAACAATAGAAAAATTACTAGACACAATTGAAGACTTGGTGGACATAAAAATGTGGCAGAGGATTTTAAGTATTGAAAGGCCTAACGCTAACAATTACCAGGACAGAATTATCATTAAAGCACACAAGGAAGCTCACAGAATAAAAAACAAAATAGAAGTAATTGAAAAACAGCTAGGAGGATTCCAAGTTAAGTCTTCAAAAAATGACAATTTTTATAATGTTAATTTAAAACAAATATGTGAGAGTGAATGTAAAACATTATTTTGCAGAGTGTGCAAAATATGTATCCATCGATATCAGTGTGATTGCCCAGAATACATGATAAAAAATTCCATGTGTAAGCATGTGCACTTGGTATGTATGTATGAGGAGCGGAAGGGTACTAATTCTGTTCTAGATGAAGCTGCTGAAGTTCTGGGACAAAACTCGCAAATTAGGATCCATCATCAAGAAGAAATTTCCCAATTTTTAAAAGAAAAAATGACGCAAGAGGAAGTGGATGAAGTGACTGAACCAAATTGGAGAATAGTTACAGAAAAACATTTAACAAACTGGATACACAACTTAAACGATGAAACTTTTGTCAGTTTTTGGAAGGACATACAAGGGATTATGAGAAAAGCAGATGAAAAAAGTAACACAACAACCACTAAGCGAAAAATGGAAAAGCAGGAGTACTTCCCTACAAAAAAAACGTAAAAAAGCATAAAGCACTTTTTTCAAAATTGAATATATCCTTTTAGGAATGTAGGCGAACAGAAGTGATTCATAAATGAAGAAATGGAGAAAATATTGACAAATGGTGAAAAGAAGAAATTATGTTAAGAGATATTGTTTAACATTAAATTTGTCGTTCAAATTATTATAGATTTCGTATAAAATGTAATTTAGTAATTTGTTTATGATTCTGTTAATATATTTAGTCTTCTAAATTAAATGAGTAAAATAAAGTTTTTATTTACGAATAGAATATGAGCACCAGCTTGTTATTTCTAAAATTTAAAACCTTAATTGTTAGCAAATAATGAACTAATGATTTATGGTAAGTTTTCATACTGAAAATATTTCGAGACGAACATCAAAAGTACCAAAACGTCAAACTCTTCAATATTTGCAGTATAGCCACTTGACTTTTAGGTAAATAACTAAAAATTGTAAAATCCCCTAGCACGTCCCCGGCTCCTTTTAGTGTAGCCACAGAATATCATACAGTAAGGACAGCTTTTGAAAGCTCCATAAGAAATACACGTAACGGACCAGAACAACAATAATCGACCGTTGGGTAAGGACATGACCTTGAATTTTGGCTTGAAACTGTAGTGGCAAACCTTGTTACTAAATAAAATTTACCACCATGTCAACATTGTGCGTCAAATTTGACATTTTAGGTGTTTGGCATTTAATATTGTAACTGTGATTTATTATTTTTACTGAATAGAAAATGCGCGTTCGAACAAATAAATAGAATAAATAATCTTGTGGAAACTGTACACAAGGCACAGGGGTGCCGTATGCTGGTCTGGACACAGTTACGAGGAATGCTTTTATATATCGGCCACATGAAGGTAAAATTGAGTTGGTAGAAAATAGTGAAGCAAATCGTTTTTCTAGGGCTGCAACATAAAAGGTGAATGCTTCATGTAGCATCTTAAGCCCGCCACTCACGTTTCAACGCCGTAGAACAATTGTGTTGGATATGAACAAATTGAAGTGTTTTTGAATGTCTGTGTATGAGATCAAGCAAATCGGTTGGATGTGGACGGTCGGTGAACAAGTCTGTCTGCAGCAGTACAATCGTTTTGAATTGGATGGAAATTTGATCATGTGTGGACATGACTCGACAGTGTATGTTATTCAAACCATGAGAGCAGCTATAAAAGTACATTTTCGTCATTTTGTCGGACATGTTGTCATCACGATCGCTTTTTAACAGAATTGTACAACAGTTGCATCCACTACAATCGTACTGGGACGGTGGAACGTGAATGGCCAGCTTTAGGATTACCAAAATGGTGGGTCATCATCAAAGGCGTTGAAGTGACAGAGAAGTTTATCATATATGATGACATTACATGCAACGGCAAAATAACTACATGTTTCACAGGTATATTTCATCAAGCATTTCTTCATTAAGTTTCCACAGACATAACTTAAAGAATTTTGTTTCCCCATGTCCAGATGTCTGTAGTCTGTCGTATTTACTTCCACAGATTTATGTGCAAAAGTTGTTCAGCTTAAAACTCTATTAATAATTTGACACTGGTTACTTTCTTTAGATTCAATTGCTAGTAAAATAGATCCTAAATCATTACAACTATTGGAATTTTCACTGTGCTGTAAAAATTGCATACCAAATAGTTTTTTATTGATTATAGAATAATATACTTCTTTATATTTCTTATCTTACAGATTCCAAGGGAAATTTAAAGAAGCCCCTGAAGCAGATTTTTTCATTGTGCCTGCAATCACGAGGTGGTCTACCACTGTAGTCCATGTTACTATGAAGAGGTTCTCAGAATCACTTCACTAATTTAACTAACAACAAAAATTCAACCAAAAACATCAAAATACTTTTCCCATGTTCCCATGGAAGATGAAAACAACAGCGTTCACTTTCTGACTCTTCAAACGGTTCACACTTGGCGAAAATTGAAGGCATTGACAAAATAGGTAGTTGATATGTTTATGTTGAAATTAACTCGGTAAAGTGATAGACTTTTATTTATGAATAAAATAAATATAAGCACAATTCTTTTTTATTGTTCAAAATGGTATTTTTTCGTAGTCTTCATACCACACTCCAAAAATTGGTTTCAGGTCATTCGATGTTTGTATCAGTTCCTTTTACATTGTTTTACGGACGAGCTCTATTTGTAATTTAGGCAACCAATATTCCACTTCGTTTCAAAAATCCCGCCTAATCAAAACGGTTGGGTAAGGACACGTTGTTCCAATATTTGACGAGCTGTCTTTACTGTATGATATACTGTGGTGTAGCCTTTAGATCGTGAAAATCCCCAAAATATGACAGTTGATTTCGTATTTTCATCACAACAAACAATCATAATCACAATTTTTGGATGATATATTAGTTCTGTGATATTGGTTCACATTAGGTTGTATATGTCTGTGGACTGGTTTTATTGTATTTGTTATTAATAATGACAGAAAGACATGTGTTAACAATAGGGGCAATTACCAGTTTTTTTTTTGTTGACGATCGGAAATGCATTGTGAACGGAGAAAATTCTTTGCAGTCAAATAATGCAGTGAAAGTCACTTTGTATACTGAATTAAATGCGCTTGAAGAGTTTATTCGAGCTAGAATGCGAAATAGCCGATGGTAAGTTAATGTATATTGATAAATTCTGTTTCAAGTACAATTATGAGGTATTTTGTTTTATTTTGCATAGAATTCCTTAAGAGAGGCAACATGTGAAACCACAATAGGTGCATTTGTATGTCACCATATGGCTACACCTGCCCTACACGGGCGTTATAATGTATTTTGGACCAATAATTTGCGTTCTTGGGACGTACATCTGAAGAAAAGTGAATCAGCCGAGGTCAGAGCTGTGATCTCTGAAAATTCTTTTAATCCCCAAGTCAATCTAAAAACAGCTAATGTTGAGGTACAACTTTATGAAAGCTTACAACAAACTGATGGGAGCGAAACACTGCTTTGGCTATTGGGCCCTGAACCAGAAAGATCTGAAGAAAATCTACTTCACAGTGTCGAAGAACTTTTAGTGTCCGAGGACTATTTAAATGGCCCATCAATATAACAGTTTGTGGGTCAGTTTTTCACCAAAAGTGAATCAGATTTTGCATTAGGCGGTGCAATTTTTTATTGTAGAATATTTTTTTTTGTTTTGAAATAAATTGGTCTTTAAATTGTGATTTTTTTTTAAATGGGTGTTTCAAACCCAATTCGTACTAAAATGAAAGTGATTTTTACTTGTACATACATGAAATCACGAATGCTAAGTTTTTCATTTTCTACCAAAAAGTGTGAAAAGAAAAAAGCTTGGGATTGATGATGATTCTTAAATCAAAATTTGGCAATTGATTGAAAACATTTGCAAATATGAGATCTTTATGTATCATTTTAAATTCACAGCCGTATCTCTAGCATGTGAAAATCAAAGCCATTTATGTGGAGGGGGAAGTCAATGGCAATATGAACCACTGTGCGACATACGTTCGAGGCAAATGTAGTGGTAAAAGTTAAATTCAAATATTTATTAAATACCACCGGTTCCATTCGTGTTTGGTATCAAGATCAACAGTAAAAATATCAGTCTTCATGGTACAAGTAGTGAGATATATAAGAAAATTACTTTAATGGTAGAATTTAAGCGTTAAAATGACGCCTCGATTTCACCCATAAGGATTACACGGGGAACTGAAGTACGGGTCTCGTGTTATGAACTGAGTTCAAATTTCGCGCATCATTCACTTCACTGGTCACAATTGACCCGTTATGGTAGTCTAGGTCATTCCTATTATTATGGTATGGCGAGTGTTAACAAAGAATTAATTTGCAAAACAAATAATATAAGATGCAGCGAAGTTAACCTGTACATCACATTGGAAAACATTATTTTTTAAGCATATTCAAACGTTATGGTGCATTTTACAGATATCTACACACTCTAGAAACCGTAACAAACTTACCAAACTATAAAAACACAGTTGACACGTTCTCAAATTTAAATGAATTCCGAAAATATTAGCATTGATTCTTATGAGAAAACAGGCTAGTTGTCAAACGGTGCCATCTTGATGACCTCGGATGACGTCAGTGTATTTGGCTAATTACAAGATGACACATGAATAAACTTGTGACGTATCATATTTGCTTTTAATTTTTAAACACAAAAGGTTCACTCAAAAAAAATATTTAAGTGGGGTTTATAAACTTGCTGTTGACGTTGACGTTAAATTTACCATTTTAGACATGTTTTAAGTTGCTTGTTGCCGAAATGAGTCTGCACATATTAAGAAAAAAAAGGAAAAGAGTAGCCCCGCCCACCCACCCTATCTCAATTGTAATGATTTTTTTTATACGTCGTGAGTCAAAAGGGCGAAGTTTAACTTCAAAATCCTTATTTCTCTACGAGAAATTAAAAACATGTTTTTGAGTATCGTGTTAAAAAAAAGATTAAGCCCCCACCCACACCTGCCCTGATCTAAATAGTAACGAAGTTTTCATTCGTTGGCAGACCTAGGGGAGGAGACTAATTGCAAAATCTATATTTTCTTATCATTTTAAACGTGTTTTAGGTTTCTAAGAATAAACAAAATCATCACAATTGAGATGGGGCGGGTGGGTGGTGTTTATATTTTGCCTTTTTTTCTTAATATGCATAGTTTTCTTTGAACAACACGATACTCAAGTACATGTTTTTAATTTCTTGTAAAGAAATAAGTATTTTGCAGTTAAGCTCCGCCCTCTTGGTTCACGGCGAATAAAAAAAATCATCACAATTGAGATAGGGCGGGTGGGCGGGCTTACATGTTGCCTTTTTGTTTTATTATATGTAGACTTCTTTTCACAACAAAAAACTTAAAACGTGTTTAAAATGGAAAATTTGTATAAAGAAATATCGATTTTGCAATTAGGCTCCGCCCCATAACTGCAAAATCTACATTTCCTTGCAAAAATGTACTATTTTATCCATGTTTTAAGTTTCTTGTTGTAAAAAGATGGCTATGTATATTAAGAAAAAAAGGCTAAATATAAGCCCCGCCTACCCACCCTATCTCAATTGTGATGATTTTTTTTTTTCGTCGTAAGCAGAGGGGAGCAGCTTAATTCTAAAATACTTATTTTTCTACGAGAAATTACCATGTAAAATACGTTCTAAAGTAATCGTGTTTATAGAAAGAAAACTAAAAGAGAAGCCCCCCCCCCCATCCGTCTCGATATCATTCGTGATGAACATCAGACCGAGGGGCGGAGCCTAATTGCAAAATCGATACTTTCCTACAAAAATTTACTATATTAAAAATTTCTTGTTGTGAAAAGAAGAGTACACATATTAATAAACAAAGGCAAAATATAGCCCCGCCCACCCGCCCTGTTTCAGTTGTGATGATTTTTTTTATTCGTCGTGCTTACATTTTGCCTTTCTGTTTTAATATGTGTAGACTTATTTTCACAACATGAAACTTAAGAGATGTTTAAAATAGAAAATTTGTATAAGGAAATATCAATTTTGTAATTAAGCTGCGCCCCATTATTGCAAAATCTATATTTCCTTGCAAAAGTGTACCATTTTAACTATGTTTTAAGTTTCTTGTTGTGAAAAGATGGCTCGTATATTAATAAAAAAAAAGGCAAAATATAAGCCCCTCCCTCCCGCCCTATCTCCATTCTGATGAATTTTTGTTATTTGTCGTCAGACCGAGGGGCGGAGCCTAATTGCAAAATCGATACTTTCCTCCAAAAAAATTACCGTTTTAAACGTGTTTACCTTTCTTGTTGTGAAAAAAATATTACAGCACATATATTAAGAAAAAAGGCCAAAATGTAGGTCCTTGACGAATATCAATAAATCTTGTTGATTGAAACGTCGAGAACTATCTTCAACAATGCGTAAGTATTGACAGAAAGGTACAGTGTAGAAAATGATGTCTGTAATCATAGGTTATTCTCCCCTATAAATAAATAATGTTCTATTATTTTTATTTAAATTTAATACATATATTGCACAGAAACGTCAAACTTGACAACCGACGGACTCTGTTTTGAATTGTTTTAAAAATAAAAGGCTGACAATGAGAAATGGGTAGACAAAACTGACCTTCGATACATGATGATAATTGAGTATAACTGTTTAAAAAAATAAAATTATCATTTCGATGGTTTTCTAACCTCTTCCGCAATCTGGCAACCTTGCCATCTCAGTGAAAAGAACAATTATTGAGTGCCTTTAGCCACTTCCCGGTATTTGCGCCGATGAGTCATGCAGCAGATGGCGACAAAAGCTGTCATCCTGTCAAACTTTTACGTTTATTAAGTCTTCGAAATTCGTTTTATTTACACCAGCTCCAATTCGACTCGTCTCTGTTAACCCGTGCCGCGACCTAACTCCCCACGATGAGTTTCTTCGGGAAAATGTTCGGGAAGAAGGAGGACAAGGGCCCCACGACGGGAGAGGCCATCCAGAAACTGCGCGAAACCGAGGACATGCTCATCAAAAAACAGGAATACCTGGAATCCAAGATCGACCAGGAAGTAATCACAGCGAAAAAAAACGCGTCAAAAAATAAACGAGGTAAGCAGTTGTCATTGACCCTTAATTAATCCTCATAGCATTCACGCCTCATTGACATCCAGCGGCCATTCAGGCCCTGAAGAGGAAGAAACGGTACGAAAAGCAGCTCCAACAAATCGATGGCACGCTCAGCACCATCGAGATGCAGAGGGAGGCCCTGGAAGGTGCCAACACGAACACGGCTGTCCTGAAGACCATGAAAGACGCGGCGGACGCGCTTAAAAACGCCCATCTCAACATGTAAGCCCCACTTTCGGCATAGTCGCGCGATTTCACGCTATGTTGTAGGGATGTTGATGAGGTGCATGGTATGATGGACGACATTGCCGAACAACAGGACTTAGCGAATGAAATCTCGAACGCGATTAGCAACCCGGTTGGATTTGGGGACGACGTGGACGACGACGAGCTCGAAAAGGAGCTGGAGGCGCTGGAGGAAGAAGCCTTGGAGGAGAAATTAGTCGAGGTGCCTCATCCACACGAGCTACCAGCTGTGCCTACTGGAGATATTGCTAAACCGAAACCAGCGAGTACGTATAGAGTGACATAACTTGAGTTTGGGGTAACTTTTGATTTGTAGAGAGCCGAGTCGATGACGATGATGACATGAAGGAGCTGGAAGCTTGGGCTTCGTAAATTCAGGGATTATTCACATTAACAGTTTTTGTCACCGTATAAAGCTGCAATAACGAGCACGTGGTTCGGCTGGTAGTGCTTTGTTTGGAGCATAATCCGCTTTTTTAAATTGTACATAAACAGGTATATAATTAAGCTAAACGTGTATCTAATTATTGTTGATGAGTAATTTTACTATTGTGTTTTGGTAGGTAATAAATATTATATTTACATACTTGGTGTTACTGCATGTGGGAATGTAAATGAAGGGGGCAAGCCAATTCGGAAAAGTGAGGTTATGTTTTTATTATTATACAAATTTTAAATTCCTATGACTAACACACACCCAAATGAGTCTGCTAACACACATTAAGACAAAAACACAGTACTCTAGGGCAAATTTTAATAATAATAATTTAAACTATAAATAAAATCGCAGTAACATCAAAAATCCAAGTTGGCAGCCCTGTCCTAATTGAAAATAATGATTTCGCACAACTCTACACCTCAAAATAAACGACATTTTTTCTGGGGTCACAAAATCCACTAAAGAATGTAACCATTTCATCAACAAACACAAATCACGACTTCTTTTTCTTTCTAACAACGAAAATAACCACCCCCTAGTGACACTCGTCGTAACGTTGGCACCCCTTTCATTGAAGATTTAAACTTCACCATGTGCGTGCATCCAGCCCTCTAGAATCACGATAATTTCGTATTCGACGCCACGTAAGTCCCCAAAATGCCGAAAAGGAAGCCCCCTCAGCCCGAGCAACCCTCCAAGAAGCCGAAACTCGCCCCGGAAGAGTCACCCCCGGCACCTGCTCCCCTAACCAAACGCCTCCACCACCCCCAAAAAGACACCATCGCGTGGCCCAACGACGACATCCTGGAACTTTTGACCAAAATTGAAGCCAACTTGCCCCAAGACGACAACCTGAAGTACTGTCGCCGGTTGGAGAAGCTCGACTGGGAAGTCATACCCTTCAAAAGCCACTCGATTGAAGCTTGCAAGAACACTTGGTCTGCGTTGTACAGACAGGTGAGGAAGTATCGCCTCCTCCGTGAGGTAGTGACCGACATGAAGGAGATGATCGGGGCACGTAAAGTAAGCAAGCACCCCGAGAAGCCCAAGCAGCCCTGGAACAGCTACATGTTTTTTGTGGAGGAGAAGCGCCCGGTTGTCGTTAACGCAAACCCCAACCTGCACCCGCACCTAATTTCGAAGAAATTGGGGCAGATGTTTAAGGACTTGTCGGGGGTGGAGAAGGAGAGATACGAGACTTTGGCTAAAGCCGCTAGACAGGAGTATACAGAGAAGTTGCACAGGTTTTATGAGGAGCACCCGGAGATGATTCCTAAGAAGACGAAGCGCAGCAAGCCGGTGCAGTTCGAGGAGGGGCGGGGGCCCCCGCAGAAAGCCAAGACTCCGTTTGAGTTGTATGTGACAGTGGAGAGCGAAAAGGAGGCTAGTGATGTTCCTAATTTCATTGTGATGAAGAAATGTAGAGAGCAGTGGAACGAATTGAGTGATAAGGAGAAGTTCTTTTGGATTAATTGGGCTGATGAGTTGTATAGTAAGTATTTGGAGGATTTGAAGGAGTATGTGAAGGATCATCCGGAATACACGCCGGAGAAGATTAAGCCTGTTATTACTAAAAAAGAGAGGAAGATTAAGGAGCGTTGCTCGGGAAAGCCTGATAAGCCCCCGCATGGTTCGTACCATTTGTTTTCTAAGATGATCCTCGAGAGTGATGAAGTGAGGAATATTAATAGTAAGGATCTGATGAATTATGTGTCGGAGAAGTGGAGGGCGTGTTCTGATGAGGAAAAGAATGAGTATAAGGTTAGAGTTGAGCAGCTATGGGAGGATTATCATCAGAAATTGGAGGAGTATTTGATGACGTTGCCGCCTGAAGATAGAGATAGGATTCGGGAGGAGGAAAGTAGGAAGAAGTATAGAAATGAAGGGAAGAGTCCTGTTGCCAAAAAGCCGCCTCCTGTTAAAGTCTCAAAGCCGGAGCTGCCTCCCAGTACTTTATTTAAGTATTTTTTGAAAGTCTACACAGGTAAGTCACTTTAGTAGTTGTATTTAGTGAACTTGACATAGCCAACTAACATCTGCGCTCTCTATGGTATTTGGTTGATTCTAACCTCAAAAATTCGTTCTATTATAGTTTTCTTTAACTAAACGGAGTAAAAGTTCGTCTTTTTATCAAAGAAGCCTTTTACTAGCCCCGCCCACATGTCTTTTATTTTCTTAGAGGGTATGCCATTTGCCAAAATCAGTCTTATCTTATCAAATACTAGCCCCGCCCACCCACCCTCTATTTTCTTAGAAGGTATGTCATTTGCCAAAATCAGTATTATCTTAGGTACTAGCCCCGCCCCCGCACTATTCTCATTCTAAACCAAAAAATTTTACTCAAGAACTCGAAAAATCGGAAGATCAAAAATCGAATATTCAATAAATCCAAAAATTGAAAAATCAAAAATCTGAAAAATGGAAAAATTGAATTGAAAAATCGAGAAGTCGACCAATTGAAGAATCGAAACATCAAAAAAACGAAAAACTGACAAATTTAAAATCAAAAAATTTAAAAAACGGAAATATCGAAGCATAAAAAAAAACCGATGAATTGAAAATTCCCAAAACTGAAACATCCAACAATTGGTAAATCGAAAAATCGGAATACCAAATACATATTTTAAAATTAGAAAAACCAAAAAATCAGTAACCTGAAGAATCGAAAAATCGAGAAATCGACCAATTGAAGAATCGAAAAATTGTAAAAACTGAAAAATCGAAATATCAAAAAAAAGAAAAATTGAAAATTTTCAAATCTAAAAATCAAAAATTTAAAAAATCGAAATATCCAACACTTGATAAATCGATAAATTGAAAAATCGAAAAACCAAATATTTTAAAAATTGAAAAATTGAAAGACCAAAAACTTTTAACCCAAGAACTCGAAAAATCGGAAGATCGAAGGATCGAAAATTCAATAAATCCAAAAATTGAAAAATCAAAAACCTGAAAAATCGAAAAATTGAACTGAAAAATCGAGAAATCAAAAAATTGTAGAAGTCGAGAAATTGAAATATCAAAAAAACAACAAATTGACAAATTTAAAATCGAAAAATCTAAAATTTAGAAAACGGTAAAATCGTAACAAAAAAAAACAAAAATTGAAAACTTTGTAATCTAAAAATCAAAAATTTAAAAAAGTCGATGAATTGAAATTGAAATATCTAACAATTGATAAATCGATAAATTGAAAAATCGAAAAACAAATATTTTAAAAATTGAAAAACCAAAAAATTTTAACTCAAGAACTCAAAAAATCGGAAGATCGAACATGGAATATTCAATAAATCCAAAAGTTGAAAAATCAGAAACCTGAAAAATCGTTAAAATAAAATGGAAAAATCGAGAAATCGAAAAATTGAAGAATCGAGAAATTGTAAAAACCGAGAAATCAAAACATCAAAAAAACGAAAACTGACGAGTTTAAAATCAAAAAATTTAAAATTTTGAAAAACGGGAATATCGAAAAAAAAAACGAAAAAGTGAAAACTTTGGAATCGAAAATTCAAAAATTTTAAAAATTGAAAAATTGAACATCCAAAATATTTTAACGCAAGAAATCGAAAAATCGGAAGATCGAGGAATCGAAAGATCGAAAATTATAAATCAAAAACCTGAAAAATCGAAAAATTGAACTGAAAAAACAAGAAATCGAAACATAAAAAAAAAAACAAAAACTGACAAATTTAAAATCAAAAGATTTAAAATTTTGAAAAACGAGAATATCGGAACATTAAAAAAACGAAAAATTGAAAACTTTGCACTCGAAAAATAAAAAATTTAAAAAATCGATGAATTGAAAATTTCCAAAACTAAAACATCCAACAATTGATAAATCGATAACTTGAAAAATCGAAAAATCGGAAGATCGAAAAATCGAATGTTCAATAAATCCAAAAATTGAAAAATCAAAAACCTGAAAAATCAAAAAATTGAATTGAAAAATCGAGAAATCAAAAATTTAAAAAGCAATGAATTGAAAATTCCCAAAACTAAAATATCCCACAATTGATAAATCGATAAATTGAAAAATCGAAAAACCAAATATTTTAAAAATTGAAAAAGAAAAACCAAACAATTTTAACCCAAGAACTCGAAAAATCGGAAGATCGAGAAATCGAAAAATCGAAAATTTAAAAAATCCGAAAATTGAAAAATCGAAAAATTGAAAAAGAGAAAGATTGTAAAAGCCGAGAAATCGAAACATCAAAAAAAACGAAAAATAGAAAACTTTGAAAACGAAAAATCAAAAATTTTAAAAATCGATGAATTGAAAATTCCGAAAACTGAAACAGCCAGCAATCGATAAATTGAAAAATCAAAAAACCAAGTATTTTAAAAGTTGAAAAACCAAAAAATTTTAACTCAAGAACCCCAAAAATCGGAGGGTCGAAAAATTGAATTGAAAAATCGAGAAATCGAAAAATTGAAGAATCGAAAAATTGTAAAAATCGAAAAATCGAGAAACCAAAAATTTAAAAAATCGATGAATTGAAAATTCCCAAAACTGAAATATTCAACAATTGATATTTCGATAAATCGAAAAATCGAAAAACCAAATATTTTAAAAATTGTAAAATTGAAAAACCATACAATTTTAACCCAAGAAATCGAAAATTCAATAAATCCAAAAACTGAAAAATCAAAAACCTGAAAAATCAAAAATTTTAAAAATCGATGAATTGAAAATTCCCAAATCTGAAACATCCAACAATTCATAAATCAATAAATTGAAAAATCGAAAAATCAAGTATTACAAAAATTAAAAAACCAAAAAAATTTTAAATCAAGAACTCGGAAAATCGGAAGATCGAAAAATTGAATATTCAATAAATCCAAAAATCGAAAAATCAAAAACATGAAAAATCGAAAATTTGAACTGAAAAATCGAGAAATCAAAAATCGAAAACCTGAAATCTCTAAAATATGTATTAAAAAACGAAAAATAGCATTGTAAAATTGTTAAATTTAAAAATCGGAACAATGAAAATAAACAGTTGCAAAATCAAAAATTTAAAAAGTCGATGAATTGAAAATTCCCAAAACCGAAATGTCTAACCATTGATAAATTAACAAATTGAAAAATCCAAAAATCAGATAATTTAAAAATTGAAAAACCAAAACATTTTAACTCAAGAACTAGAAAAATCGGAAGATCGAAGAATCGAAAATTCAATAAATCCGAAAATTGAAAAATCAAAAACCTGAAAACTCGAAAAATTGCACTGAAAAATCGAGAAATCAAAAAATTGGAGAAAATTTTGAAAAACGGGAATATCGAAACAAAAAAAAACGAAAAAGTGAAAACTTTGGAATCGAAAAATCAAAAATTGAAATTTTCCAAAACTAGAACATCTAACAATTCATAAATCGATAAATTGAAAAATCGAGAAACCAAATATTTTTAAAATACATATTTTAAAAATTCAAAAATTGAAAACTTTGCTATAGAAAAATCAAAAATTTTAAAAATCGATGAATTGAAAATTTCCAAAACTGAAACATCCAACAGTTCAAAAAAATTCAAAAAATTCCAAATCGATAAAATGAAAAAACGAAAAATCGGAAGATCGAAAAATCGAATGTTCAATAAATCCAAAAATTGAAAAATCAAAAACCTGAAAAATCGAAAAGTTGAATTGAAAAATCGAGAAATCGAACAATGAAGAATCGAAAAATTGTAAAAATTGAAAAATTGAAAAATCAAAATATTTTAATCCAAGAACTCGAAGAATCGGAAGATCAAGAAATCGAAAATCGAATAAATCCAAAAACTGAAAAATCAAAAACCTGAAAAATCGAATAAGTCAATTGAAAAATCGAGAAATCGAAAAATTGTAAAAACCGAGAAATCAAAACATCAAAAAAAAAACGAAAAACTGACAAATTTAATATCGAAAAATTTTAAATTAAAAAAATTGAAAATTCGAGACATCAAAAATTAAAAAATTGAATCGCTTAAAATCGAAAAATCAAAGATCACAAAATCAAAAATCGGAAACCTGAAATATCGAAAATTGTTAAATTTAAAATCGAAAAAATGAAAATAAAAAGTTGATAAACCAAGAAATTGCAAAATCCTAAAATTAAAGAAACCAAAATTTAAAAGTTGAAAAATCAAAAATTTCAAAAGTCGATGAACTGAAAATTCCCAAAACCGAAATGTCTAACCATTGATAAATTAATAAATTGAAAAATCGAAAAATCAGATATAAAAATTCAAAGATTGAAAACCAAAAAATTTTAACTCAAGAACTCGAAAAATCGAAAATTCAATAAATCTAAAAATTCAAAAATCAAAAACCTGAACAACAGAAAAATTGAATTGAAAAATCGAGAAATCGTAACATCAAAATAACGAAAAACTGACAAATTTAAAATCGAAAAATTTATAATTTAAAAAATGAAAAATTCGAAACAAAAAAAATTGAAAAATCGAAAAAAGCGACAAACCATCCACCTTTATTTTCCTAGAGAGTTTGTCATTTGCCAAAATCAGTCTTATCTTATCAATTAATAGCCCCGCCCACCCACCCTCTATTTTCTTAGAGGATATATCATTTACCAAATCAGTCTTATCTTAGCATTTTCATTTAGAGCAGATAAAATAAATCACTGAAAGGAGGCGGAGTGGGTGAGCGGGTTTAAATATATATTCTACATTTTTGTTATAACGGGTGATGAAAAAGTTTTTAGAGTAGAGTTTGCCATGGAAATAATTGTCATGTCTTTGATTAAATTGCAAATGTCAGGCATTACCTCATTTGCATTTTAATCAAAAACATGACAAATATTTCCATGGCCAACTCTAATGTAAAAACTTTTTTCTACTCATTAAGGTTGAAGTTTGTCATTTTCCCATCGCTGGCAGTGGATGAAATTTCATTTCACCCTCTAGTGGAAAAATACTCGGCCGTCTACGATTTTAACGGGTCGTCCAGCCTGAGCGTTTCGCAGCTAGCGAAACGTGTCGCGTATCGCCTGCACCGACCGCACCGTCCGCTTCGCGCGCTTCGAAAATCATGACGCCTAGGCTGGACGACCCGTTAGTGTTTGACGTTTAATACTGCTAGTTTACACAAGTGAAAACAATGAACATGAGTGAGACTGACGAAGTTTCTGAAGAAATTTTGAATGCTGCCAATGCGGCATTTTCGAATCTGATACCCGAAAAGTCTAAAAAGTTTTATGAGCTAACATACCGAAAATTTATGAAGTGGAGAGAGAGAAAACAATGCCGTTCATTTAATGAAGACGTTTTTGGTGCATATTTTTTTACTTTATTAGTGAATGCAGGCGGCGATATTATGATGTTAAAAAGACACGGTGGGTGGAAATCATCCACCGTAGCTGAAGGATACATCGACGAATCGTTATCTGCAAGAAAAGATATTGCAAACAGGTTGTTTATAGATAAACCATCAACTTCAACAAGTGCAGTTATTGATACAGGAAGCAGCCAACTAAGTTTAAACAAAGATACAAGTTCAAATAATACTTACGATAAAAGTGTAAATATTATTGGTGATAATTGCACAAATTGTTCTATTACAGTTAATGTATTTCAAAAATAAAATACCTACCATAAACAAACATTTATTTCCTAATTTCTTAGAAAAAATAGTATATGCAACTCGCGGATGAAGAAATTTCAACGGCTCGAGTTTCTTTTTCGCACTCGCTCGTTGCACTCGCTCGTGTGAAAAAATCACTCTCGCCGTTGAAATTCAACTTCATCCACTAGTTCCATAATGTACTATTTCATCACTCTACTATTTGCTATAAGAGTTGTTTCTTATTTCAAAACAAAAAATTAGAGAACGGGTGGGTGGGCGGGGCTAAGTTTAACTTTCTCCTACAGTCTTCTCTCTACAGACTCTTCATTCTAGTGACTAGTGCGTAGATAAATTGTTAAACAAAGTATGCAGAAAGTGTTAATCTGGTGTTAACGAATTTTTGAGGTTGGCAGAATCGGTTTCAACAATGAAATTCGCCAGATCTTAGTTGGCCATGTTCTTAAATACGAGTGGCGCCATCTGTTGAATTCTATAAAACTTCTTGCAACTCCCTCTAGGTGACGAAGATGCTACTACAGTCTGGAAAAAACTGACCCGCGAAGAAAAACAGCCTTACGAACAGAAACTGAACGAAGAGAGACAAACCTACATCAAAGACTACGAAGCATACTTAAAAACCTTAAGTAGAGAAGAACTCGAGAAACTCGGTCAATCCCTGACCAATCAATACTCGAGTGAGTCAGAGTCGGAATCGGAAACCTCCACCGAAACCAATTAATTTATTTTGTTCTTGTTTTTTGAAGTTGTATTTTTTCTAAATATTAAAGTTCTGTTACGTCACCTATCGCGCTTTAATTACCTTCCCGCTGATAACCCGATAACGTCGACCCATTGCATTATCACAACACTACCTACTACAGTTACAATTACGGCGGCGCGTCGCCGCACAACACCAAGCGTCCTTCATTCACCCTCGTACCTGATGAGTGTTCACACGAAATGAGTTTCCTGCAGAAGGTAATGGGGCGGAAGCCCAAAAAAGCCCCGGCGCTGCCCGACGCCATCCAGCGCCTCAAGGGCACGGAGGAGATCCTCCTGAAACGCCAGTCCTACCTGGAGGAGAAAATCAAACGGGAAGTGGCCACGGCGAAGAAGAACGCCTCCACGAACAAAAAAGGTGGGTAGAAAGGGCCGCATTTCCGACCTAATCGGGGTTTCAGTTGCCTTACAAGCCCTCCAGAGGAAGAAGCGCTACGAGAAGCAGCTGCAGCAGGTGGACGGGGCCCTAACCACGCTGGAGACGCAGAGGGACGTCTTGGAGAACGCCAACACCAACACTCTGGCGCTGGACTCGATGCAGAGGGCGTCCAAAGCGCTCAAGGCCGTCCACAAAGACATGTAAGCGCTAGTGTCGCTAGTTTTTCGTGTGTGACGAAGTGGTTCCAGAGACGTGGATAAGGTTGACCAGATTTTGGAGGATTTGGCGGAGCAGAGGGAGGTTAGTGATGAGATAGCGGACGCGATTGGGCAGCCGGTGGGGTTCAACGACGGGGATTTGGATGAGGACGAGCTGGAGAGGGAGCTGGAGGAGCTAACCGAGGGGTTGGAGGAGTTTTCGGTCGAGGAGGATTTGCCGTCTGTGCCTGTGAACGACGTCCGGATTGGCGAGAAAAGTGAGTGGGGTTGTTATGTGGCGTTTTTTGATTGGGTTTTTGCAGAAGGGAAGGAGAAGGAGAAGCGGAAGGTTTTGGCGGCGTCTTAGTACCAAGGACCACGGATATTTTTGGATGTTTTTAGATGAGAGGCTTTTATTGTTTGTTATATTTTCATACGGCTTTATGCTTTATACTCGTTGAGAAAGCTCCGTTGTGATTGTACTGCGTACACTTTTAGAATATTTTTTATAAGCAATAAATGAAGTGAAATTGAGTGTTTGTTTTAAAGGTGAAAAAAGAGTGGAGCGAAAGGGGGCCAGATGTGATGACAGTGCTTTTTATAATCCAGGAATGTAATTCTTTCATTTTCCTGCAATAGCAGTTTTTACTGCTCCTATTTATTTATTTTTTGTTATTTCTTTTCTTATTTTGACGTTTGTTGACGACTTTTGGGTGCACTTTGAGGTTATCTTGTAAACGTTAACCAAAATTTGTGTGTTCATTCATTCCAAAAAATTATGACGTCCTCTAAAATATTTACAAGCATCAGGTGTCAATATAAAAAAACGTTAATATAATTTTACACTTTATTTCAAAGATTATAAGATAGAATAAACGGAAATTTTGATAAGATACTAGCACTTATTAAGCGATTACAGAACATCTCCTAAAATTTGTTTATTTATCTTTGATTTCTCTACCCTTTTTTTATACTACTTATTTTTATTAATTTTTGTCATTGTTGTTTTTTGTTTGAATAAAATATTCTCAAATAGTTTGCTCTTTTTTTCTCCTTTTCCAAAGCAATAGCTAAAGGCACTCAGAAACTACCAAACCCACGCCTTGAAATTATTTGCTTAAAAATTTGAAAACATTTCAACGTTTTAATAAAACTGTTAAAAAGAGGAGACCGTGCTGCAACAAACTTTTTTATGACATTTTTACCTTTTTTTGTTGTCGGTTTTTGTCTTTTTTGAATCACCCTTTTGTGATTTTTGTCACTTTTTTATGTTTTTTGGTTTATTTTATATAGTTGTGTCGCATTTTTTTGGTTTCTCTTTTTTCTTTACTTGTTTTTTTCGCCTTTTTTTTCATTCTTTTGTAGACTTTTTGGACCGTTTTTTACTAAAACTGACCACTCGAAAAATTGAAAATCGGAACATTAAAAATCCGAAGAATCAAAAAATCAAAAATCAAACAACTGCGAACAAAAATTAAAAAACGAAAAACCGTCTTGTAATACCGAAAAATTGAAAATTCAAACATTAAAAAATCGAAAAACTCATAAAACGAAAAATTAAAATAGCGAAAAATTGAAGTGTCAAAAAAAATGGCAAAATTGTAATATTTAAAAATCAAAAAATACGAGAAATCAGAAATCAGACCACCCGAAAAATTCAAAATCTAAAAACTAAAAATCCAAAAATTAGAAATCGAAAAACTGAAATATCAAAAAAATCAAAAATTGAAAAACAGCGTTGTAAAATTGAAAAATCCACAACTGAATGATCGAAATATTGCAGAATTGTTGTTAAATTTAAAAATCGAAAAAATTAAAAATAAAGAAGTTGATTGATAAATCAAAAAATGCAAAATCGTAAAATCAAAGAAACCAAAAACTGAAAAATTCGTGAGTTTAAAAAAGAAAAAACTCGAAATTGCTCTCGCCTTTTTTTGTCGATTGAAAAAACAAATATTTTAAAAAGGCAAAAATTGAAAAACCAAAAAATTTTAAATTCAGTTTGAATAATTGAAAATCAAGAAATCGAAAAACTGAAACATCAAGAAATCGAAACACTGAAAAATCGAGAAATCGAAACATTAAAAAAACGACAAATTGACAAATTTAAAATCGAAAAAACCAAAATTTAAAAAATGGAAAAATCGAAACATAAAAAAAAACGAAAAATTGAAAACTGAAATCGAAAAACCAAAAATTTTCAAATGATGAATTAACCCAAGAACTCGAAAAATCGGAAGATCGGGAAATCGAAACATCTAAATCACAAAAAAGTTAAAAATTAAAAATCGAAAAGTGAGAAACCAAAAATTAATAAACCAAAAAATTGCAATAATCGGGAAATCAAAACATCAAAAAAACGAAAAACCGACAAATTTAAATTCGAAAAATTTAAGATTTAAAAATTGAAAATTCGAAACATCAAAAAAAACGAAAAATTGAAAAATTAAAAATCGAAAAACATGACAAGTTTAAAAATTGCAAAATCATGAAATTGAAGAAATCAAAAATTCAAATATTGAATTGCTTAAAATCGAAAATTGAAAACTTTTAAACTGACCACTTGAAAAATTGAAAATCTAAAAACTAAAAATCAAGAAATCAAGGATCACAAAATCAAAAATCGAAAACCTGAAATATCGAAAATTGTTAAATTTAAAAATCGAAAAAGTGAAAATAAAAAGTTGATAAACCAAGAAATTCCAAAATCCTAAAATTAAAGAAACCAAAATTTAAAAGTTGAAAAATCAAAAATTTTAAAAAATCGATGAAATGAAAATTCCCAAAACTGAAATGTCTAACAATTGATAAATTGATTAATTGAAAACTCGAAAAATCAAATATTTGAAAAATTGAAAAAGAAAAAAATTTTTAGTGAGCACTCGAAGAATTGAAAATCGCAACATTAAAAATTCGAAGAATCACTATAATAGTGAGTGAATAATTCACAAAATCAGAAATCGAAAAACTGAAATATCGAAAAAATTAAAAATTGAAAAATAGCATAAAATTGAAAAATCGAAAACTGAATGATCGAAATATTGCATAATTGTTGTTAAATTTAAAAATCCAAAAAATTAAAAATAAAGAAGTTGATTGATAAATCAAAAAATGCAAAATCGTAAAATCAAAGAAACCAAAAACTGAAAAATTCGTGAGTTTAAAAAAGAAAAAACTCAAAATTGCTCTCGCCTTTTTTCTGTTGATTGAAAAAACAAATATTTTAAAAATCAAAAAATTGAAAAATCAAAACATTTAAAATTCAATTTGAATAATTGAAAATCAAGAAATCGAAAAACTGAAACATCCAGAAATCGAAAAACTGAAAAATCGAGAAATCGAAACATTAAAAAAAAAATTGACAAATTTAAAATCGAAAAAACTAAAATTTAAGAAACGGAAAAATCGAAACAAAAAAAAAAACGAAAAATTGAAAACTGAAATCGAAAAATAAAAAATTTTCAAATGATGAATTGAAAATTCTCAAAACTAAAATATCCAACAATTGATAAATTGAAAAACCTAAAAATCGGAGAACCAAATATTCTAATAATCGAAAAATTGAAAAACCAAAAAATTTAAACCCAAGAACTCGAAAAATCGGAAGATCGAGAAATCGAAACATCTAAAACACGAAAAAGTAAAAAATTAAAAATTGAAAAAAGCCAGAAACCAAAAATTGATAAACCAAAAAATTGCAAAATCATGAAATTGAAGAAACCAAAAATTGAAAAATTTAACCGTTTAAAATCGAAAATAGAAAAATTTCAAACTGACCACACAAAAAATTGAATTAAAAATCGAAAAACCAAGAATCCCAAATTCAGAAATCGAAAAACTGAAATATCAAAAAAATTAAAATTCAAAAATTGCGTGGTAAAATTGGAAAATCAAAAAACTGAATTTTCGAAATATTGCAAAATTGTTATATTTAAAAATCGAAAAAATGAAAAATAAAGTGGTAAAATTGCTATCGCCTTTTTACCTTTTTTTTACTGATTTTTTGTTCGTTTCTTTTTCTGTCGATTCTTTATATGTTTTTATAGCCTTTCTTTTTTAATTAACTTTTTTCTCTTTTCTCCCTATTTTTGTTGCTTTTTTTGTCGCCTTGATTTGTTGTCTTTTTGTCACATTTTTGTGGCTTTTTATTGACTGCCATTTTTTTGCAATTTTTTTGTATTTTGTTGCCTTCTGGATAGTTTATTTCTCTCGTTTTTAATTTTCGTCTCTTGTTTTTTTTAGGCTTTTCTTTGTGCACCCTTTGTGTAGTTCTTTTCATCCCCTTTTTTGTGGTGTCTTTTTTGTGATTTTTTTATTTTTTTACTCCCGTTTTTTGTAATTTCTCTCCCTTGTCTTATTGAATCTTTTATCGCTTTTTATTTTCTTTTCCTTTGTGGCATTTTTGTTTTCTTTTTGAGTCCCGATTTTTTGTCAGTTGTTTTTGTTTCTTATCGCTTTTTTCGTCATGTTTTAGTTATCGACGTTTTTTTATTGTTTTGTGAATTTTTGGTAGGATGTTTTTGTCCTTTTTTGTTGTGTTTTTTTTTTAACTTTTCTTTATCGTTTTTTGACTCATGTTTCGTGTTCTTTGTCGCTTCTTCGTCTCCTTTTTATTGATTTTTGTTCCTTTTTTTAATGCTTTTGATTCCGATTTTTGTTTCTTAACTCTTTTTTGTTGTCTTTTGTTCGTCCCCCTTTCTATAGCCTTATTCTCGCCTTTTTTACATTTTCTTTTGTTGATTTTTTGATCGCCTTTGTTAATTTTTTTGTATTTTTTCGCAAGTGTTTTTTTACTCGTCTTTAGATATTATATTTTCGCTCTCATTTTTTAATCGACTTTTTTCGCTTTTTTCCCGCATTTTTGGTCTGTTTGTGAATTTTTTTGTTTTTTTTTTGTACCCTTGATTTCTTGTTTTTTTGTCCCATCTTTGTGGCTTTTAATTAACTGTCATTTTGTTGTAACTTTTTTGTTTCTTGTTGCCCTCTGGATAGTTGATTTCTCTCATTTTGATTTTTTAGTCTCTTGTTTTATAGCGTTTTTTCGTTTATTTTTCTTTTTTTTGTGGGGTTTTCTTTGTGCACCCTTTTTGTCGTTCTTTTCATCTCCTTTTCTCTGGTATTTTTTTGTCAATTTTTTTATTTTTGTAGTATTTTTTTGTTTCTTATTGCTTTTTTCGTCACCTTAAATTTATCGACTTAATTTACTGTGTTTTGCGATTTTTTGGACGTATTTTTTTTGACTCAAACGCCAGTCCTATTTGGAGGAGAAAATCAGACGGGAAGTGGCCACGGCGAAGAAGAACGCCTCCACGAACAAAAAAGGTGGGTAGAAGGGCCGCATTTCCGACCTAATCGGGGTTTCAGTTGCCTTACAAGCCCTCCAGAGGAAGAAGCGCTACGAGAAGCAGCTGCAGCAGGTGGACGGGGCCCTAACCACGCTGGAGGCGCAGAGGGACGTCTTGGAGAACGCCAACACGAACACTCTGGCGCTGGACTCGATGCAGAGGGCGTCCAAAGCGCTCAAGGCCGTCCATAAAGACATGTAAGCGCTAGTGTCGCTGGTTTTTCGTGTGTGACGAAGTGGTTCCAGAGACGTGGATAAGGTTGACCAGATTTTGGAGGATTTGGCGGAGCAGAGGGAGGTTAGTGATGAGAAAGCGGACGCGATTGGTCAGCCGGTGGGGTTCAACGATGGGGATTTGGATGAGGACGAGCTGGAGAGGGAGCTGGAGGAGCTAACCGAGGGGTTGGAGGAGTTTTCGGTCGAGGAGGATTTGCCGTCTGTGCCTGTGAACGACGTCCGGATTGGCGAGAAAAGTGAGTGGGGTTGTTGTGTGGCGTTTTTTGATTGGGTTTTTGCAGAAGGGAAGGAGAAGGAGAAGCGGAAGGTTTTGGCGGCGTCTTAGTACCAAGGACCACGGATATTTTTGGATGTTTTTAGATGAGAGGCTTTTATTGTTTGTTATATTTTCATACGGCTTTATGCTTTATACTCGTTGAGAAAGCTCCGTTGTGATTGTACTGCGTACACTTTTAGAATATTTTTTATAAGCAATAAATGAAGTGAAATTGAGTGTTTGTTTTAAAGGTGATAAAAGAGTGGAGCGAAAGGTGTTAGGTATGGTGTTGAGGAGGCAGCAATAATTTGCGAAATTGAAGTTGTTTTCGTGTTTTATTACAACAATAAAGAACGGCGTGAGAATGCGTTAATCAGTAATCGGGGACAGATGTGATGACAGTGCTTTTTGTAATGCAGGAATGTAATTATTTCATTTTCCTGCAACAGCAGTTTTTACTGCTCCTATTTATTTATTTTTTGTTATTTCTTTTCTTATTTTGACGTTTGTTGACGATTTTTGGGTGCACTTTGAGGTTATCTTGTAAACGTTAACCAAAATTTGTGTGTTCATTCATTCCAAAAAATTATGACGTCCTCTAAAATATTTACAAGCATCTGGTGTCAATATAAAAAACGTTAATATAATTTTACACTTTATTTTAAAGATTATAAGATAGAATAAACGGAAATTTTGATAAGATACCAGCACTTATTAAGCGATTACAGAGCATCTCCTAAAATTTGTTTATTTATCTTTGATTTCTCTATCCTTTTTTTTGTACTACTTATTTTTATTAATTTTTGTCATTGTTGTGTTTTTTATTGGAATAAAATATTCTCAAATAGTTTGCTCTCTTTTTCTCCTTTTCCAAAGCAACAGCTAAAGGCACTCAGAACTGCCAAACCCACTCCTTGAAATTATTTGCTTAAAAATTTGAAAACATTTCAACGTTTTAATAAAACTGTCAAGTCAGGTCAGGTCTTATTCCATGTTTTTTTCCTTTAAATCGGGTGAAAAAAGAGGAGACCGTACTGCAACAAACCCTTTTTTTATGGCATTTTTACCTTTTTTTGTTGATTTATTTCTTTCCGGGCTTTTTGTCGGTTTTTGTCTTTTTTGAATCACCCTTTTGTGATTTTTGTCACTTTTTTATGTTTTTTGGTTTATTTTATATAGTTGTGTCGCATTTTTTGGTTTCTCTTTACTTGTTTTTTTCGCCTTTTTTTCATTCTTTTGTAGCCTTTTTGGGCCGTTTTTTTACTAAAACTGACCACTCGAAAAATTGAAAATCACAACATTAAAAATTCGAAGAATCAATCACAAAATCAGAATTCGAAAAACTGAAATATCGAAAAAATCAAAAATTGAAAAATAGCGTTGTAAAATTGAAAAATCGAAAACTGAATGATCGAAATATTGCATAATTGTTGTTAAATTTAAAAATCGAAAAAATTAAAAATAAAGAAGTTGATTGATAAATCAAAAAATGCAAGATCGTAAAATCAAAGAAATCAAAAATTGAAAAATTTGTAATTTTAAAAAAAGAAAAAACTGTCAAAATTGCTGTCGTCTTCTTTTGTCGATTGAAAAAACAAATACTTTAAAAATCAAAAAATTGAAAAACCAAAAAATTTAAAATTCAGTTTGAATAATTGAAAATCAAGAAATCGAAAAACTGAAAAATCAAGAAATCGAGAAACTGAAAAATCGAGAAATCGAAACATTAAAAAAACGACAAATTGACAATTTTAAAAACGAAAAAACTAAAATTTAAAAAATGGAAAAATCGAAAAATTAAAAATTTTCAAATGATGAATTGAAAATTCTTAAAACTAAAATATCCAACAATTGATAAATTGAAAAACCTAAAAATCGGAGAACCAAATAGGTTAATAATCGAAAAATTGAAAAACCAAAAAAGATCGGGAAATCGAAACATCTAAAAACATGAAAAAGTCAAAAATTAAAAATCGAAAAGCGAGAAACCAAAAATTGATAAACCAAAAAATTGCAAAAACCGGGAAATCAAAACATCAAAAGAACGAAAAACCGACAAATTTAAATTCGAAAAATTTAAAATTTAAAAATTGAAAATTCGAAACATCAAAAAAAACGAGAAATTGAAAAATTAAAAGTCGAAAAACGTGACAAGTTTAAAAATTGCAAAATCATGAAATTGAAGAAATCAAAAATTAAAAAACTGAATTTCTTAAAATTGAAAATCTAAAAACTGAAAATCAAAAACTCAAGGATCACAAAATCAAAAATCGAAAACCTGAAATATCGAAAATTCTTAAATTTAAAAATCGAAAAAGTGAAAATAAAAAGTTGATAAACCAAGAAATTCCAAAATCCTAAAATTAAAGAAACCAAAATTCAAAAGTTGAAATATCAAAAATTTTAAAAGTCGATGAAATGAAAGTTCCCAAAACTGAAATGTCTAACAATTGATAAATTGATAAATTGAAAAATCGAAAAATCTAATATTTGAAAAATTGAAAAACAAAAAAAATTTAACTGAGCACTCGAAGAACTGAAAATCGCAACACTAAAAATTCGAAGAATCAATAATCACAAAATCAGAAATCGAAAAACTGAAATATCGAAAAAATTAAAAATTAACAATTTAAAATTCAGTTTGAATAATTGAAAATCAGGAAATCGAAAAACTGAAAAATCAAGACATCGAGAAATCAAAACATTAAAAACACGACAAATTGACAAATTTAAAATAGACAAACCTAAAATTTGAAAAATGGAAAAATCGAAATATCAAAAAAAAACCGAAAAATTGAAAACTGAAATCGAAAAATCAAAAATTTTCAAATGATGAATTGAAAATTCTCAAAATTAAAATATCCAACAATTGATAAATTGAAAAACCCAAAAATCGGAGAACCAAATATTTTAATAATAATCGAAAAATTGAAAAACTAAAAAATTTAAACCCAAGAACTCGAAAAATCGGAAGATCGGGAAATCGAAACATCTAAAACACGAAAAAGTCAAAAATTAAAAATCGAAAAAAGCGAGAAACCAAAAATTGACAAAACCAAAAAATTGCAAAAACATGAAATTGAAGAAACCCAAAATTGAAAAATTCAACCGTTTAAAATCGAAAATTGAAAAATTTCGAACTGACCACAGGAAAAATTGAATTAAAAATCGAAAAACCAAGAATCCCATAATCAGAAATCGAATAACTGAAATATCGAAAAAATTAAAAAAGAAAAATTGCTTGGTAAAATTGGAAATTCAAAATATTGCAAAGTTGTTAAATTTAAAAATCGAAAAAATGAAAAATAAACTGACAAAATTGCTATCGCCTTTTTACCTTTTTTTATTGATTTTTTGTTCGTTTCTTTTTCTGTCGATTCTTTGTTTTTTGTCACGCTTTTTGGCTGTTTGGTCTCCATTTTGTCGTTTTTTTTTTGTTTTTGAATCACCTTTTCTTCTTTCTTTTGTCACGTTTTATGTTTTTTCTTGCATTTTTAAATAGTTTTTCCGTCTCTTTATCCCTTTTTGTGTTTTTTTCTCATATGTTCTTATAGCTTTTCGTTTATAATTACCTTTTTTCGCTTTTTTCCGCATTTTTGTCGCCTTGATTTGTTGATTTTTTGTCACATTTTTGTGGCTTTTTATTGACTGCCATTTTTTTGTAACTTTTTTGTATTTTGTTGCCCTTTGGATAGTTTATTTCTCTCGTTTTTAATTTTCGTCTCTTGTATAGCTTTTTTCGGTTATTTTTCTTTTTTTTTGTAGGCTCTTCTTTGTGCACCCTTTTGTAGTTGTTTTCATCCCCTTTTTTGTGGTGTCTTTTTTGTCACTTTTTTATTTTTTTACTCCCTTTTTTCGTAATTTCCCTCCCTTTTCTTATTGAATCTTTTATCGCTTTTTATTTTCGCTTTCCTTTGTGACATTTTTGTTTTCTTTTTGATTCCCAATTTTTTGTCAGTTGTTTTTGTTTCTTATCGCTTTTTTCGTCATGTTTTATTTATCGACGTTTTTTATTGCGTTTTGTGATTTTTTTGGTAGTATTTTTTGTCCTTTTTGTTGTGTTTTTTTTTTAACTTTTCTTTATGGTTTTTTGACTCATGTTTCGTGTTCTTTGTCGCTTCTTCGTCTCCTTTTTATTGATTTTTGTTACTTTTTTTCATGCTTCTTATACCGATTTTTGTTTCTTAACTCTTTTTTGTTGTCTTTTATTCGTCCCCCTTTTTATAGCCTTATTCTCGCCTTTTTTACATTTTCTTTTGTTGATTTTTTGATCGCCTTTGTTAATTTTTTTGTATTTTTTCGCAAGTGCTTTTTTACTCGTCTTTAGATATTATATTTTCGCCCTCATTTTTTAATCGACTTTTTTCGCTTTTTTCCCGCATTTTTGGTCTGTTTGTGAATTTTTTTGTTTTTTTTTGTACCCTTGATTTCTTGTTTTTTTGTCCCATCTTTGTGGCTTTTAATTAACTGTCATTTTGTTGTAACTTTTTTGTTTCTTGTTGCCCTCTGGATAGTTGATTTCTCTCATTTTGATTTTTTAGTCTCTTGTTTTATAGCGTTTTTTCGTTTATTTTTCTTTTTTTTGTGGGGTTTTCTTTGTGCACCCTTTTTGTCGTTCTTTTCATCTCCTTTTCTCTGGTATTTTTTTGTCAATTTTTTTATTTTTGTAGTATTTTTTTGTTTCTTATTGCTTTTTTCGTCACCTTAAATTTATCGACTTAATTTACTGTGTTTTGCGATTTTTTGGACGTATTTTTTTTTTGACTCAAACGCCAGTCCTATTTGGAGGAGAAAATCAGACGGGAAGTGGCCACGGCGAAGAAGAACGCCTCCACGAACAAAAAAGGTGGGTAGGAAGGGCCGCATTTCCGACCTAATCGGGATTTCAGTTGCCTTACAAGCCCTCCAGAGGAAGAAGCGCTACGAGAAGCAGCTGCAGCAGGTGGACGAGGCCCTAACCACGCTGGAGACGCAGAGGGACGTCTTGGAGAACGCCAACACGAACACTCTGGCGCTGGACTCGATGCAGAGGGCGTCCAAAGCGCTCAAGGCCGTCCATAAAGACATGTAAGCGCTAGTGTCGCTAGTTTTTCGTGTGTGACGAAGTGGTTGCAGAGACGTGGATAAGGTTGACCAGATTTTGGAGGATTTGGCGGAGCAGAGGGAGGTTAGTGATGAGATAGCGGACGATTGGTCAGCTGGTGGGGTTCAACGATGGGGATTTGGACGAGGACGA